CCCCCCCCCCCCCCCCCGGACCCTTTTTTTGCATCGGCGACCACACCACTCCCAGCCATTGGTGCCCTCCTCTGGAGCTGCCCGGCACAATCCAGGAGGTGGCTGACGTGAAGGGACTTTTTCCATCCCTCTCCTTCCTGCGCCCAGATCGGCTGATCTAGCGGGAAGGTTTCTGGGCTCCATTCTGGCTTGCCGTCCTGATCCCATCTGGCCTCGTTTCCCAGCAGTGACATCCTACTGGGACGAGGCCGCAGCCGGTTCCTGGTAGAATAAGGGTGCTGGTTCCCACATTCGCGCCCAACACCAGAGTGGAGGGGTTTCATCCAGCGGAAATTCCCTCAGTGCCCTCCTGGAGCCGAGCCTGGCAGAGGCTTTCTGAGCAAAGATGTCCAGGTTGGACCAGCGTCCTGCGCCTCCGGGCAAGCATAACCAGACGGTGACATCGCTCTCCAACTGAGCTCACCAGTGTGTGTTCCAGGAGGCTACAGCGAACAATACGTTACGCTGCAGACGTACAACGTTCAAGAGGCTGGAGGAGACATAGAGCTCCCTCTGCAAGGCAGTTGACGTCATCCTCAACCTGTGCGCCTCTTTTGTTGTCTGCCGGTCTCGCATCGCAGCCGGAGGACGAGGTTTTCCAGAGGTCCACCTGGCCCATCACTTCACCTCCCTCTCAGAGGAGCTGCAGAAAGTTTTTTGTTGTTGTTGGAGGGCCCCCATCAATGACGGACCTGCTGTTCAGGACTATTTTCAAGACGTTCCACGGCTGCACAGCGTCTTCCCGCTCTGCCAGCCCTGCCCATCAGACATCAGCCTTTCTCATCCAGCAACCAGAAGTTCAGCGTTTCCCTGAGATCGCCAACAGGCGGCACCCTAGGACAACAAACCGCAGAGCTCACGGGGGAGATGATTCAAAATGACGGTTTGCGGAGGATGTGTGTGAAGAGGACAAGAGTTTTTGGAATAAAACATCATTTAATGATGAAAGTGTCTATTTTTAGCCAGTCTGTAAGCTTGGATGACCTCACAGTGGCTCCTTCACACATCCTCCACACAAAATGAGATGGTGGCCTTTAAAAAAAGGTTTCTCAAAATCATTGTTGCTCCAAAACAAGACGAGACGCTCGCATGACACAACAGTCTTAAACGAATGTGGTCCACAGAACGAGTTCAGTGGAATAAGGCACGCTCACCGCTTCTCAGCGCTCGCCCACTCACGTCAGCACAAATGTGAGACCACAGGACAAGCCCAGTGACCAACCTCACTCTCAGCAGCAGCGGTGTGTGCCCCACCGAAGAAAACGCGTGCTTCAGTGGCGCTTCCGCGGCACTTCCGCGGCGCTTGCAGCCTTCACTCAAATGGCACAGCGTTGATGAAGGCACGCTCACCACTTCTCAGTGCTCGCCTGCTCACGTCAGCATAAATGTGAGACCGCAGAGCGAGCCCAGTAAAGGACCTCGCTCTCGGCAGGAGCGACACGCATCTCACCGCAGTGGTGTCAAACGCATGCCCCCGCGGCACCAACAGTTTTCACATGCCGCTCCTGAACACACGCCGGTCCACATAGACATGAATGTGGACCCGCAGCCCGAACGTAGCACATAGATGCGTTCAGAGCCCTTTCAACGAAGCCTCGCCTTGGGTCACGCGGAACACACTTCCACGGCACATGACGGCGGTTGAGGCGGTAGACTGGCTGACATCCGTAAAAACATGACGCATCACCTAAACGCGTGCCCATTCCATGAACATTATGCAGAGTGGCTGCGAGCTTGCTCGCCAGACAGATGGATGGCCAAGCTGATAGCAGGGGTTACACATTACAACTTACAGCCCGACCCCCTCTGTTCGGAGGAGTTTTTAGAGACGGTCCTGTCATCACCAGACCAGGTCTCATCCCTAAAGGCAGAAGTCCAGGGGTTCCCGACGGAGAGGAAAACAGGTTTTTTTACTCACGTTACTTCCTGGTTCCAAACAGACCGGAGGAACAAGACTGATTTTGGACCTGTCAGTTTTCAACAAGGCAATCGTGGGCAGACTGTTTCACATGTCGGCACGGGCTCAGGTGTTGATGTCACACCTGCTAATTCTGGGCTTTGCCATAAATTGGGAAAAGCTTGATTCTCCCGGCCCAGACGATTGCTATATGGGAGTGGGGCTAAACTCGACCACCATGAAGGTTTGTTTATTCGTTTATCACAGACGAGAATCAACTCTCTAAGAGTCCAGCTCCGTCACGTTAGACCGGGCTGAGTAGTAACAGCTATTTTCCATCATGAAACTGTTAGGAATGATGTTGTCAGCTCACACAGTGGCCCCACTGGGTTTACTACACATGAGATGCTTCCAGAGATGGTTTGCTTGTCTGCACGTGGATCCGGTGAGACAAAAGAGAAGGACGATCGCTGTTCCTCATTCCATGAGAACAGATCTCCGACACTTAAAACCCCCCTGGTTCTGTCGGAGGGAGTCACCGTCAGCAGACCTACGTCACACGTGTCAGTCTTCACAGACACGTCGTTGTCAGGTTGGTGGGTGATAGACCTATCTCGAGCTGTAGGGGTGCCGTGGCCTTTCTCACAACAGCTCATATAAACATTCTGGAATGTCGCACGGTCCTGAATGTGATTCAACACTTTGCTCCTGTGCTGCAGAATCAACACGTTTTGATTCACACAGACAACAAGGTTACTGCTGCTTACATAAACTGGCAGGGGGGTGTGCGCTCAGCCCAAATGTTCACATTGAGAGAAAACTACTGTGTTGGGCACACCAAAATCTGCTCTCCAACGGAGCAGTGTACATCCACAGTGTTCTGAACAAGGGGCAGATGTGATGTCCAGGGGCGGTCCGTGTCATGGGGACTGGACCCTCTACCTCGATCTGATGGCCCAGACGTGGCAGAAATTTGGCAAAGCGGCTGTGGACCTGTTTGCGACACGAGAAAATGCTCAGTGTCAACTATGGTTTTCAATGAGCCCGCGAGACGAACCACCGCTGGGGGTGGACGTGTTTGCTCACAGCCCATGGCCCAAAACACTTATTTACGTGTTCCCCCACCTCCTCTGATATTACGGTTTCTGAACCGAGTTCAGGAGGAGGGATTGACAGTTATCCTGGTGGCTCCCGAGCGCTTGAACGCACCATGGTTCCCGGTTCTATGACGCCTGTTATCGGGGCGCCCGTGGAAACTGCCGTGGAGGGAGGATGCTGTCCTCCAGGCGTGAAGAGCGATCAGGAGTTACCCAGAAATAGGCCAGCACCTGTGGGTCTGGCTGCTGAGAAGATCCGCTTAGAGAGGATGGGTCTCCTGCAAGATGTAGTGCGCATATTCCAGGATTCACGTGTTGCATCCACCACAGCGCTGTACACATCAAAGTGGACAGCTTTTCAGTACTGGTGTACAGAGAAAGGTGTAGAGGCCACTCCATGTCCGCTAGGCGGCATGTTGTCCTTTCTGCAGCAGCTGATGGACAGAAATTTGGCGTTCAGCATGATTAAACGTATGCTGCAGCCATTTCTTCTTGTTACGAAGGTTTTGGAGACAGAACAGCCTTTAATCATCTGCTGATGAAGCGTTTTTTAAAAGATGTACACAGATGCAGGCCTGTTTCACGCCCACTTTCTCCACAGTGGGATTTAACGCTGGTCCTGCGGGCCCTGATCAAGCTCCACTCGAGCCACTGTATCAGGTTCCAATTAAATTCTTGTCTCTTAAAAAAGCCCTGCTGCTGGCTTTAACATCCGCTAAGAGGGTGAGTGATTTATCTGTCCTCTCTGTCGCTCCGTCATGTCTTAGAATTCAGGCTGATGGCAGCTCAGCTGATCTAAGACCGAATCCAGCTTTTATGCATAAAACATCACAAGCTCTTTTAAATCAAGAGTGATATCATTGGAGGGTTTTTCCCCTCCCCCCCACAAATCAGAAAAAGAAACATCTTTCCATCTGCTCTGTCCTTTGCGGTCGTTGATGTATTACATGGCGCGCACAGCTGCAATGCGTCAAACTCAGCATTTGTTTGTGCAATATAGAGATGCATCTGTAGGTCACCTGTTATCCACCCAGCGCCTGTCACACTGGCTGTGTGAGGCCATTTCTGAAGCCTTCAGAGCATCAGATTTAGTGCCTCCTGATAACCTCAGGGTGCACTCGTCCAGAGGTGTTGCATCTTCGACTGCTCTGCATAATTGTATGAAAATGCAGGATATTTGCACTGCGGCCGTGTGGGCAACACCCTGCTCATTTATTCGCTTCTATTTACGTGATGTGACGGCTCGTTCCACGACACATTCCACCCTTAGTGTTTTAACAGAATGAATATTGTTGTTTCATGGAACCCCGTTTAAACTCACATCTGACTGCATGCATTACAGTGTGAGATGTTATCAGTCACATGTTGTGACTGTTATTTTGGTTCTATTGTCATTAATCAGTTCATGACTATTGTTACCAATCAGTTCATTTGATTAATAATCAGATCACTTGTTATTATTAATCTTTTCATATTGTTCAGCCCCTTTTCAGCATCTTCCTTTCCCCACTGAAAGTTTCCAGGGCGTTCATGCACTCATAACGTATAACTACACAGCATGCGTCTGTGCATGGTACGCATAATTACGCAACGCATAATTATGCACATGGAGAGCTGAGTGACAAGACATTTTTTGGGCAAGCTGCCGCTTCGTATGGTGTTCGAATGGACCCAGTGAGGCGAGGACCACATCTGCTTCGCCCTTAATCCACTAAGCGACAGCTCTTAAAGGGTGAAGCCTATATGAAATAGAATGTTGGTTACGTACTGTAACCCCAGATTCTATGAGTATAGGCATAGCCCTTTAAGCGTCGGGCCTCACTGGCTCCTAAATGGCTGAAGAAAAAGCTATTTGGGAGCCGATTACCCGCTCTTAACGTAATTTATACGGACCGGGTGGGGCCCACACAGCAGGTGGGCATGGACTAAATTTTTCAGTGCACTGCTTCACATGACGGGATAAACCCACTAAGCAACAGCTCTTAAAGGGCTACGCCTATACTCATAGAATCTGGGGTTACAGTACGTAACCAATGATTCATCTACCTGGATTATTGAGCAGCATCAAGATACAACAAGCTGCATATTTCAACCAGCATCTCATTTAAATGCCAAGATTTAAAAATAATAGTCTTGTCCCATAGCTGTCTACAGTGTTGTGAGCACATCATAGTTTTTCTTGTCATATGTTGTCTTATTTTACTCACCTGAGTTACACTAAGCTGTTTAAGTATTTTTTTACTCTGCCAACGTTTACTGCCAAAGAAAAATGGGTACCCTTTGAAATTACATCTGCTCTTATCACAGACTCACATTGCTACTTTATAGGCTAAACTTTGCGATAGGCACAGCTGAATAATTATTTGATTCTAAATAAATGTTAACATTTAACTTTAGTCCATTTATATTGTTTTGGTTGAGCAGGGTGCTTCAGTCCCCCAACAAGAAATATTCTGCTAATAGCTGTTGGAGCTGCACAGTTTATGACTATTATTAAATAGATGGTTGTTTCCTTTGACCCTGGGATCAAAGGAGAACATTTCCCCAGTTTACCCTGAATGTACACAACACCACCAGTTTAGAGGTAAGCAGCTGATCTGTAGTCTCAAGATGGAAATCATTAAACTAATAATTTTCCCGCAGGCCAGAGCTTTCATCTGTGGTTGGTCTGAAGGGCTGTGTGAAAGGATTCCAGTTCCAGAAAAAAGATTTCAACTTACTGGAAGAGCCTGACTCCATTGACATCAGCAGCGGCTGCCCAGAGGAGTCCTTTGTAAGTGTTTTATTTAACCAACTCACACTCCAACATGTATACCCTGTTACACACACACACCTCCCACACACACACATACACAATTTTGTGTTTCTTTTTTTATGGCTTAAGCTTTATTTACTTTCCATAAAGAAAAATACACTGCAGTTCCACACTTAACATAGCACATGCGAAACAGTAGTTAGTCCTTGTGGATTCTCTGGAACAAATGTCCAAAACAATTATCAAAGATTACTTAATAAGGAAAAAAATAACAAAACAAAAATTAACAACAACAGAAAATCTACACACATACAGTAGTAACACTCTATAACCCAGATACATTTAGGTAATTATAGCAGTACAGTCTCCCCCTCACTGTTTGCTATTTTCATCGAACCGCTAGCCGCAGCAATCAGGCAAACTACAGATATTAAAGGCATAAAATGCAAGAACAGAGAGCACAAAATCAGTCTATATGCTGATGATGTGCTGCTCTTCCTCCAGCATTCACAAACCTCCATCTCTCAGGTTATTGGACTGATAAACTCCTTCTCAAAAGTTTCAGATTACTCTATAAACTGGCTAAAATCCACAGTTCTACCAATTAATTGCTTCTTCAACAATTCACTTACTACACAACTGCAATCGGGGAATATTACATATTTGGGTATCAAAGTTTCGCCTAAATTAGCAGATTTAACAAAACTAAACCACACCCCACTTTTAAAGAAAATTGAGGATGATCTGGCTAGATGGAAATCTTTACCCATATCTCTCATGGGAAGGATCGCATCAATAAAAATGATGGTTTTGCCTAGAATAAATTATTTATTCTCAATGATCCCAAATAAACCATCATCTGACTGGTTTAGATCCCTGGACTCCTCTATTTCTAAATTTCTGTGGAAAGATAAACGCCCTCGTATTAGATTAAAAACACTACAGAAATCCAAAGATAAAGGAGGACTAGAATTACTCAACTTTTATTATTATTTTCTAGCCAACAGGTTAGAATACATCTCAAAATGGATAAAACACACACCCCTTGATGAACCCTGGCTAGACGTAGAAC